GTGTTTTGGGGTGGGAAGATTTTTCATGTGTAGTAGGTCAAAAAACCAAAACAAATAAAACACCTCTGTTCACAAGACCAGTAGTACTGTGCATTGGAGAGGTGTATATTTTCATGCAGACAGTTCATAGTCTAGTAGCTATCACAACAGCCTTTTCATTCAAGGGCAGATTATCTTATTCATCAGTCTTTGATGTTTAGTCAGAGCCTCCCTCTTCATCACTGACAGCTTGTACTGCAGCTTCACCCTAAAGGAAAAAAAATAGAAGAAAAAAATGTAATAATTAAAAACACGTTTCAGTTCAGAAACCAGATACAGGAAACCGGCATTTTAAAGGTTGCGTCTTCATCAGCAATTCCTTATAATGGCCAATTATAAGGAGAACAATAAGTGCTTGTAAATGTGAAAATGACCATCAAATAAACAATGCAGTTTAAACATTGAGCAGTAAAAGTTGCAATAAACTCTTACCTACAGCAGTAATAACTAGAACAGGTTTAAAATTGTTCTTTTCCAAGTTTGTGCTCTCTTTCATCAGGGGAGGACAAGCAATTCCCCTGCATGGTGTCACAGTACCCAGTACTGAATACGCACCAATTCAATATTCTTTACTTTAAAATGGCTGTGAAAAATTATACTCCACTAAGTCAGTGTAAAGCAGCCACAAGCAAGTTAACCCACCTTTGCCACAAACATTAAGCTTCCCCTGCAGGAGTGTAGAGAACTAAATATTTACCATAATTTGCAGGCTCCCTAAAGTCTGAGTGGTCAAATGGTCGACAGGTTTACCAGTTGCTCTCAGACAGTTGACTGGTAGATAGCACATCAGTAGCAGTGATAGGGCACTCCGTGAAGGCTTATTTTGTTAGAGGAGGAAGCGTAAAAGACTCTCAGTCTGCTGGGTGCAGATAGAGTAATCCTTTTAAGAGCCCAGGCCTATTCGATCATTGCCATGGGTTATCATGGAAATGTTCCAACATAAGAGATGTCTGCACTCGGCAGAGGTGGTGTAGACTACAGTCACCAAGTACCACCTGGTATTGTTATGTCCCCTCTCCCTGGCTAGAGGTGAGAAGCAAAAAAGGAGGGGAAACTATTGGGTAATTAAAAAAAAAAAAAAAAAAATTATATACATATCCATTCAACCCACCCCCCAAATTCACAAACAAACACAATGGATTCCATAAACACACACACTTTATCACCTGCACACATACTCATTACATCCCCTATACCAGTGATGGAGAACGTATGGCATGCTTGCCACAGCAGGTACAAAGTGACCATAGTTTGCCACATCAACTTGCAGCTGTTTAAAAATCTGACTGTGTGCCTGTATGACTGCGCCTGTTAGAAAAACAGCTTTTTGTTCATTAGTTCCACCTCTGGGCAGAAGGAAGAGCCTGGAGCAAGGGAAGCAGGCAGATTCTGCTCAACTCAGCCACAAATCGGCTTCACAAGTTTAACAGGTTTGCCTAGGCTAGAGAGTTTTTTGCTTACCTAGGCTAGAGAGTGCCTGCCTTTCCACTCTTCTGAAGGAGTGTGCCTTCAAGCATCATAGCCAGTTCAGTTTTGTGAAGTGGTTATGTTGCTTTATGTCTGTATGTACAACATTTTTCTACTAAATACTGCACATACAAAGTTTACTGCTTTGCTGTTGTAGGTGTAATTCCACCTCCGGCAGCATCATTCGCCAGCCTGAAAACAAAAGCTTCTGCCTGGCTAATGTCAATTTTGTGGATATCAGCTGGCCAATCAATGGCCAACTGTATCATTATTCTGCTTCTGCAGCTGTGCAAAAGCTGGATGTGCATCACCTGGCAAAACCGGATCCACCATGCCTGGCGGGACCCAGGTAGGAGTGTAGACCGATGCAATATTATTTACCCGGAATGGCGCAAGGGTACTCCTTGCATCATAAGCACTAATGCAGGCTTTCAATACAGTATCTATCAGGGGTTCCCAAATGGTACCACCCAAGATATTACAGAACTCTATGAGCACCAGAGCAGAAACACAGAAGGAATGAACCAATTGTTATATGTTGTCAAACTAATATACTAAAAGCTACATTTTGGGAAACAAAGATTAACATTACCTTGTGGTTGCCTGTGTTCTGCGTTGATGACGCATCATAGTCATGTATGGGCAATGTGGTAAGCCAAGTGGACATGGATTTTTCCTGTATTTCTGTTTGTATGATGGTGGGGTAAATATGCTCTTTCTTAAATGACTCAATTTTAGATTCTTCCTCTGCCCAATCCAAGGATTCATGGAGTCCATCATTACCAAAACGTCTATTGTACTTCTCAAAGTGAACCCTTTCCAATACAAGACCTAAACCAGGTGCTTTTGGAATGTCTACTTTTTCTTCTCCCCAGCTACGCTCAATGACTGACATGGGAGCGTAGCCTTTTACCACTGCAATAACCAAACCAATCATCTTGCGAATTTGATGCATCATGAAGCTCTGTCCTTTCACCTTAATTACAGCAAGCTCTAAACCACCTTGCTGGAAAGGTGGCTCACAATGCATCTCCATGATGTAACGTTTCGCGCTGGGGTCCCATGGTCCCTTCTGAGAGGTAAAGTTGTGGAAATTGTGGGTGCCCTTGTAAAGGGCAAGCAGCTCATTAACCCTGCCCAGTGTTTCCTGGCTCAGCCGAAAGCTCTCTTCTTGTGTTTCATGGTCCTTGAGCAAGAAGGCAAAGGTTGGCAGAGTGTATGAATAAGTGCGAGCGTCACATGAGTTCTTTGAGTTGAAACGTCCAGTCACCCTCTTTAATCCTAAAACCAAAAACAGCATATAGGTTTTTGTGTTATTTAGTGTGTTTTAGATTTGCTGGATCAAAGAAATGCAAAAAAAATAAATAAAATAAAGCTTGTTACAATTCTTATAGTGTTAGAAACCTGTCCCAACTGCTTTATCTTTTAAGTCCTCATAAGATGATGTTTTTCCCTCTAGTACCCAGACTACATCCTCCATTCCTGTTCACCCTATTATAATTGGACATGAGGCAGTCTCATGCCCCCTAAAGTAAATTTCCATTAATTGTATGAGCTCTGACATGAATGCATGCAGAACAGCTCCTGTAAGTAAAGGAAACCAACTTAAATGGTGTAAGCAAGTTGGGGGTATATATATTGTACAAATATTTGCATAGCTTGTCACACATCTTGTGGGTAAAATCAATATATGACAAGTCACGGTTCAGCAAATGTGAATATATTTTGCTTGCTAGTAACAGAAAGACAGACAGACTTTTTTTTCTCTCTTAAACACTATTTATTTAGTGAAAAGAGACAAGAATTGTGTCTCTTATTTGCAGTACATATCGTAAAAGCCTTGGAATGTGGATAAGATAACGATCTCCATCTTTTACAACCCTACACTGCACATAAAAATTAAACAAAAAAAAAACCCAACAACAATATATGAATGTATATATGTATATAGTATCTCAAACACTATTGACGTGAAAAAACCGTACTAGTATCCAGATATACTTATCTGAAGTATTCGATCAAACAGCCTCTCAAGGTCGTGGCCCAGTTCCCGACCTTTTACAACACATATATACATATATAGACACAAAAGGAAATGAGATTCGGCTGTACATAATCTAAAACAGGAACAAAAAAGAACACATAGTGTGATACAGTAAAACAAAATGTTAGTGTGCTAAGATGGTAATGCACTCACAAGATCAGAATGAATAGTGCGCCAAAAATGTGCCTGCCCCGGTAAACTTGGGCGGCTGAACGCCTCCACTCTCCACTGGAAATCCAAGCGGACCAAATTAGGAATGAGACTCCGATGGGTTTGGATAAAATAATTATGCAAATTTATTGTAAATAAAGGGCCATATACATTAGCCACATAAATAAAATAGAGGAAAGGTCCTACGCGTTTCGTTCCTATAAACAGGAACTTCCTCAGGGACCAAAAACAAATAATGTAATAAAAACAATCAATACAAAAAGTCTCTATAAATAGGACTAAGTCCTCAGTTCATTGGTGGATCCAGTGGGAGTTACCGATGATTCAATGATCCTATTCAGGTGTAGAATGTCCGATGATCCTGTGCAGCTGTGGAGTAGATGTTTCTTTTCTGCAGGAATTAGAGTGCATTGAGTGGCATGCGGAGTATAGTTGGGCCACGCTAGATGTTACATCTCTCTACACGGTTATCAACCATGAATTGGGGGTGGAAGCATTAAATCACTTCATGACACAAGACAGGAATCTGGCATCAAATCTTAAACAATTTCTCCTAACTTCAGTTAATTTTATTTTGAAACACAATTATTTTTATTTCAATGGTGAATTTTATTTACAGACCACGGGGACAGCCATGGGCACCAGGTTCGCCCCCAGTTATGCGAATACCTACATGAGACGTTGGGAGGATCTTTTTGTTTGGTCTGGTCATGACTGGAGGGAGAACCTGGTGCTCTGGCGGCGTTACATAGATGATATCATTTGGAGGGGTTCTTTTTCTTTGTTTCAGGATTTTGTCAATTTTCTAAATTGCAATCTTTATAATCTGGTTCTCTCCCCGGTCTGGAATAAGGATGAAATCAATTTTTTGGATTTGACCCTGTTCATTGACAAAGGAGATATTAGAACCAAGTGTTTTTTCAAACCTACTGATGGAAACGGGTTTGTCCATCAACGTAGTTGTCATCACAAACCCTGGCTGAGGGGCATTGCAAAAAGCCAATTTACACGCTTGAGACGCAATTGTTCAGATAGCCAGGATTTTAATATTCAGTCCACACATGTCAAAAATAAATTGATAGAGAAAGGGTATAAGAAAAACGCCTTAGAGAGAGATTCGGTTAGTTAAACAGATTGACAGGAACCAATTATTGGTTGACAAACCTCAGATTGAAATTTCCAACACACATTTTACATGAGCTTTTATAACACAGTTAAATACTGATCACAATAAAATAAAGAAAAGTTTACAACAATATTGGCCGATCCTACTACAGGACCCAGTTTTAGGGACCACATTATCACATCAACCTAAAGTTATCTATAAGAAAAATAGAAATTTTAAAAACATGCTGGCTCCGAGTTATGCCCTAAAATCTACACATCCAACTGCTTCCAATTCATTGGGATTCTTTAGAGGATGCAGCACATGTAAAGTCTGCACCACCAGTCTTGTATCTAGAACTAACTCTTTCTCCAGTTTCAGTACAGGAGAGAGGTTCAATATTAAAATGGATATAGGTTGCCACACGGACTATGTGGTTTATTTACTGCAATGTCCATGTGGCAAACAATACGTAGGGCGCACGAAAAGGATTTTGAAAGTACGATTTATGGAACATCTGAACAATATAAAAAAAGAAGATCACCACTCACTCTGTACCCACCCATTGTAACACTTGTCCTTTGTTCTCATTTTCCAATTTTAAGTGTGTAGGAATAGAAAAAAAAAAAAAAAAAGAGTATTGCCCTACTGGAGGGGAGGTGATAGACTTAAAAAATTTGCACAACGTGAAACGTTCTGGATTCATAAACTCCAGACCCTTCACCCAAGAGGTCTTGACCTTGACATAGACCTCATTTGCTTCCTCGATTAGTTTTTCCTTTTGTTCTACATCGGTGCCTAAGAGGGATTTTATATATATATATATATATATATATATATATATATATATATATATATATATATATATATATATATATATATATATATATATATATATATATATATATATATATATATATATATATATATACACACACATACATATATACATATACACACACACACACACACATATACATATATATATATATACACACACACACATATACACACACACACACACATTTTTTTCTGTTATTTGCACTTATTAGAGGCTACAGAAGACACATATATATATATATATATATATATATATATATATATATGGTCTTGATCGTTATTCTGTAATATAATATGGGATATCTATATACTAATTAATTAATAATATCTATATCATCATAATTTTACAGGAACAATCTTTAATAAGGATATATAAAAGAAAGTACTATATGGAAACATTCGATCATTAAGGAATATTTTACATTACAAAAGATATTAAATTAAGTATTATAATAATCAAATATAAAAAAATATATATATATATATATTCATGATAGGGTGTTAGTAAGAAGAGACTTCTAATAGATAAAGATTGAATTGTATGGTATCCCATTTGATTGATGGATACTTACTAATTACAACACACAAATTAGAATTATTATTTTTATTATTGTGAAATATACACTTCATATAATAATTTGGAGAGTCGTATGGCAATCCATCTAATGGGTTTATAGAATGCAACACTAATTATCACGTTATAGAAAGCACAATATTGGATTTATGTATGGATTATATCTATTTCCACAATGATCTATTGAAATAAAAAGTAGGTTCAAGGGAAGGTTTATGTATTTAAATACATTTTTTACTTTAAATATAAAAATGATATGAGAGGGAAATAATATTGTGGGAAAAGCATTTTATGTTTGTTCATTTATTTGTTCACTTATTTATTATATTTTCCTGTATGTTTAGTCCTGCAATCTATTTATATTTCTTTTCCCACTAGGAGATCTACTGTTATATATGTCCTTGTTAAATTTAGATTAGAATTGCTATACATCAGGCAACCTCAAGGTGGCGATATGTGCAAATTGTTCATTATGATTCAGTTGGAACGCATATGTCAATGGAACGCGGAAGTAATACCGGACTTTCATTTCCGGTTTCCGGTTTCATCGTTTTGCGCCAAGAAAGACCGCCGAAACATCTACTCCACAGCTGCACAGGATCATCAGACATTCTACACCTGAATAGGATCATTGAATCATCGGTAACTCCCACTGGATCCACCAATGAACTGAGGACTTAGTCCTATTTATAGAGACTCGGGGGGGGGAAATATTGTATGCATTTTTTGTATTGATTGTTTTTATTACATTATTTGTTTTTGGTCCCTGAGGAAGTTCCTGTTTATAGGAACGAAACGCGTAGGACCTTTCCTCTATTTTATTTATGTGGCTAATGTATATGGCCCTTTATTTACAATAAATTTGCATAATTATTTTATCCAAACCCATCGGAGTCTCATTCCTAATTTGGTCCGCTTGGATTTCCAGTGGAGAGTGGAGGCGTTCAGCCGCCCAAGTTTACCGGGGCAGGCACACTTTTGGCGCACTATTCATTCTGATCTTGTGAGTGCATTACCATCTTAGCACACTAACATTTGTTTTACTGTATCACACTATGTGTTCTTTTTTGTTCCTGTTTTAGATTATGTACAGCCGACTCTCATTTCCTTTTGTGTCTATACATAAAAATTAAAGTATTAGAAAGGAGGATGGGTGGAGGGGTTTGAGAAAAAGCCCAAGCTTACAATATAATTAAGTTTAGTTATATATTATAATAATACTCCTCTTTAAATTTTCTTATATATTTAAAATACTAATTTGAAAAGATTTCATTATCATTAAATTCTAACACTAACTTTGTGTGTATTAAATATATAAACATATGTTAAAGGGACACTGTAGGCACCCAGACCACTTCAGCTAATTCAAGTAGTCTGGGTGATGTGACCCTTTTGCACTTCGTGCTGCAATGTAAAACATTACAGTTACAGAGAACCACGATGTTTACATTGGAGCTCTAAGTCTGCCCTCTATGGCTGTATATCACTAGACGGCTTCCGGAATCCAAACAGACTTTTGGTCTGTTATCTCACGGACCTTCAGTCAGATTTTCCCCATCGGAAAGCATTGAATAATGCGCATTAGGCCTCCCCCACTGGCTGACGTCGGCGGGGGAGGAGTGTTGGCGGACCCTGACCCAGTACCGAGGGACATCTGTGCTGGATTCAGGTAAGTGGCTAAAGGGGTTTTAAACCCTTGAGCCCCAAAGGAGGGGGCCCTCCAGTAGCCTATTGTGCCATGAAAACGTTTTTTTTTTTCCTGGCACTATAAGATCCCTTTAAGACATTATCAGCAACAAGTAGTCTAACACAATGGATGGTTAGTAAACCTGTAATCCAGAATCAGATAAGAATTGCCCATAAGACATACTCCTTACCAGCAATAAAAATAATGAAATAACTACGCCATCTATTGGTTATTATCGATACAACTGACCACTAGGATGTTTACACCCATCTGATTCCATTAATCACTTTAAAAGGTTGATGTGCAAAATAGAGATGAGAGAATTCCTTAAAAAGTAAAAACACACTTGTTGAAAAGGAAAACAAAAATCAAAGATATACATACACTCTTGCGAATAGATACTCAACACTTTTGAAGGCACACCTATCTTTTCCATCGTGAATTCCTTTGTTAGCCAGACTAATTCTGGATTTCTTTTTTTTTTTTTTGCATAACTGCTCTAAATTTGCTATTCTCATACTATATTCTATCTTTAAAGACTCTTAGCTCACATTCATTGGATTATTATTTCATCCGGAACAGCAACAGGTATTCTACAAGATTGGTAATTATATATGGGTTTAACTTAATTTTTACTAAAAACAAAAATATACCTGGATAATGCTGATCAGATTTCAAAATTTTGGAATCATAATTCGCTAAAAGGGAATGATATAATTCAGGATTTCAGACTGCAGCTGAAATTAAAGGAATTATACTGATTTGCTGGTAATTTGCCAAGTTTAGCACATCAAGCTATTAGCCAGAGATATTAGACACATAGTAATTCAGGGATAAGTTTTAATATTGTATCAGATACCAAGAGATTGCAATGAGTTGTAATTAGTGTTAAATAACTCTAGTAAAGACTTAGACCATATTTTCTTATGGTTATTGGATGGTAAAGAATAGTTAATTTGACTATCTGCGTAAGATGAAACATTGTATTTTGTTTATAATGGTTAAAGTGTTTACTGTGTGAGAATTCAGGAAGCAGTGAACGTAACTTAATTTTATCTGAACTGCTATCAGTTAATGGCTTTGTTCTGCAGTCGTTTTTCTGATCTGTATTGATGATATGTCAATTAAGTTCTAGACAAGATAGAAATAGAATAATTCTTTTAGAAATGAATTGATATGTGATGGAATATTGTTACTAATAGCCAATTGATTATTCACGAGTATTGAAAATCTGTACTGTTACCTGCCAAGAATACTGACCCCGACTGGTAGATAATTTCTGAGTGGACTGCTAACCCATCACTATAAGATAAGTGATCTAGAAATTATCTCTGTTGTGGTCATGGTTGCCATATTTTATGCCTATTGTTATACTAAATATTCACCGATTATCATGCATGTTACATATTATTTGTCACAATAAATTATATTTTTATAAATTGGTTGTGATTAATGTGTGCAATATAAATAGCTAACAAACGTGCTCCAGGGACTAGAGTTAAAATAGTAACTCTTAGCTTTAAACCAATCAAGGGGACAGTGTGCCAAAATATCGATTTTGATATTAAAAAAGTTTATTCTTTTTTTTTGATATTTTTTATAAAAATTATTTTTTAAATAAATATTCTAATAGGCTGAATGACAATAGTCAATGAATAATAATAATAATAATAAATATCTTCCAAATATATGAGGATTTAAAAAGCACATATCGCTAGCACCATGAACATTATAATAAACTGTAGTAGACATGGTTTTTAGACTGTCCCCTTAAATGGACTGTAAACAGCCTTTAAATTATTATTATTATATTTTACAAATGTCAATGTCTATTTCAGGATGGTACAAATTTGTGTAGCATTTAGGAGTCAGCTCAGACCTGTTGTTTATGGAACCTAGAACGGATACATCTAGAGATAACAATATGAACTAATACATACGTGTGGTCAAGTGCAAGCAATATGCTAGGTTACGGTTCAGCTCTGATATTTTTTTATGTGAAGTGTAGTTCTCATAGATAAACAGAATAGTACCTCTATAAAACAAAAGAGAATCATGCATAAATATACAATTACCCAAAATCCTGATGTGTGATGGAAGGTGTTCATTAATCTTTTCTACTACGTTGTCTATCAACCAGATCTTTAATGACACCACTTGCCCTGCAGCCGAAACACCCTGAGAGAGATATTACAATCCAGTGAGAAACACTTGCCTTTAGAATTCGCTATTCAGAAAAGTATACTTGAGATATGTGGATGGTTGAAATACTTATCTCTAACCTGTAGTCAATTCACTTATTATAAGTGAATATTTTCATCGCGCCAGATTTACTAGGGTCAGGGTTTGTGAGATGGAAGGTTTCTGTGTTTTTTTTTGCAATATATTACACTGGGGGGCGGAAGGGGGGAAATCCACACTTCTGAGCTATATTCTGATTTCTGCCTTGTACAATGCATTGTTTATCAGTAGATCTCAATGGGCAGTAACACTACATGGATATCACATTCTGACAATGACAATTAGGACATGAGGGGTGCTAGAAGGAATGACAAAACATGTATTCTGGTTTGTGTGAATATCATTAAAATACTAATTAATTAATATATATATATATATATATATATATATATATATATATATATATATATATATTAATTAGTGTTACTGCCCATTGAGATCTACTGATAAACAATGCATTGTACAAGGCAGAAATCATAATATAGCTCAGAAGTGTATATATATTTTTTTATTTTATTTTTAATATAAAAAAGCTGCTGCTACAGGGATGCAAGGACTTGTACAGCATGTGCCATCCAGGCATGGGAGAGCATAGAAGAAGTAACATTTCCCCTCTACCATGGAAATCACTGCAGGTGCATGGATACAAGAAGCTGCTCTACTATGCAATGAGCATAGATTGCTATAGTGCAGGGGTAGGCAACCTTTGGCTCTCCAGATGTTCTGGACTACATCTCCCATAATTCTCTTACAACCATACTGATAAAGCAACAGAGATGTAGTCTACAACATATGGATTGCTGAAGGTTGCCTACACCTGCTATAGTGCTTTGAGTGTCCATTGAAGCCTTGCCATTAAATGTCCAAGTATATACAGTTTAAAGATTGATTACCTTGTCTGTGCGAGCACACCGCTGAAAAGACATCTTTTTCATTTCTTCAGCATGATTCTCTGGGATACAGCCAGCCCCTACAAGTGCCTGGACTAGTTCATCTTCAATTGTTTTGAACTGGGAGGATCCCACATTTCTCTGAAGGGCACAGTATAACCATCAGAATAGGGCTGTGTTTGTAGTTCAAATCAGTGCGATACAAGGAGATTGAACAGAATACTTTGACTATGAACACACATTGCACTATACAAGACAAAAATCGAACTGCTCCACTGGGTATGTTCTAAATCTAAAAGGAACTTTCTAAGGAAACTAGCCATTTCTTGGTTTTACATTGCAAGACTGCAGAGACAGGGACTGTTGCTCTGGTACTCAGAATGCATCTTTAAAGGACCACTAAAGTGCCAGGAAAACATACTCGTTTTCCTGGCACTATAGTGCCTTGAGGGTGCCCCTACCCTCAGGGACCCCTCCCGCCCGGCTCTGGGGAGAGGGAAGGGTTAAATCTTACCTTTTCTGCAGCGCCAGGCGGGGAGCTCGCCTCTCCGCCTCCGATCCTCCATTTTGTCTGAATGCGCACGCGCGGCAAGAGCTGCACGTGCATTCAGCCGGTCTCATAGGAAAGCATTCACAATGCTTTCCTATGGACGCTGGCGTCTTCTCACTGTGATTTTCACAGTGAGAATCACGCAAACGCCTCTAGCGGCTGTCAATGAGACAGCCACTAGAGGATTTGGAGGCTGGATTAACCCTATTATAAACATAGTTTCTCTGAAGCTATTTTTATTTAAAAAAAAAAAAGGGGGGGGTTAGTCCTAGAGGGACCTGGCACCCAGACCACTTCATTAAGCTGAAGTGGGCTGGGTGCCTAGAGTGGTCATTTAAGGCAATGAAAATAAAAATCTCAAATTTTAAAGTACATAACTTTGCAGCTATCCAGGCTTTACAGCATCCAAAGTGAGCTCTGTCTTGAGCAGAAGAGGAGCATACTCATAAACCCGGGCATAGCAGAAGTTTATGGAGCATATATTTAAGTACTTGGCAGCAATTACATAGCATTACCTCTGTGGAGGTGTTTAAGATGATGGTAGCTTCACAATAAAACAGCTTGTCTGGAAAGGTGGGGATTTGCATTGTGTGTGAATGCCGCATAAAACATGTTTAACAAGCAGAGAATAGCTGTATAAATACAGATTTATCCTTTCACTATAACTTATTATTCTGCTTTCCTTTCTTATCTGTATAGTTCCTGAATTTCCAAAGCGTAGTAGTATTATACCCCAAAACACAGAACTCTTACCTGCATTCCATGATAACCTTTCCCTGAATAAGCCATTAGTAGGACCACCTTTCTTTTCGGCGTTTTTTTGTTCTGTTCCTCATGGTCAGGTTTAAATCTTTTGGCAGTGTGTCCATTTTCCTCCACAGCCCCAGGCTCCTCTTGGAGGGCACATGCCTTTCTTGTCTCTTTAGTATCAGGGGGCTGAGACAAACCATCTTTAATAGGTGCAGCAGCCATAAGATAAAGGGTGACTGCAACAGAGGTAGAGAAAACATTAACTAAATGTTAAAACACAGGCATATGCTGTACTTCACACTTCCTTGCAGGTAATTAAACCATCACCCCTTCAACTACCTACATGAAAACGATGCTCAGTAACAAATATCTCACGTCAAAGTTACTGTAGAAGAATTGATGATACTGTTTTCTTGATACAATTAACATATACTTACAGATAACGATAACATGCCTCCAATTATAAGGCATGCTAGATTTAAATGTTTCTACCAAGCAGCTAAGGGGGGCAGGCACGGTTCAGAGTTAAACAGCCACATTGCAGGCTCTGAGCACATGGTTACAATATATTGCTGAAGGCTGTCACCGTGCACAGCGTGGATAAAGTACACTATATAAATAGTAGCACGGCTGCTCTGACCTGGGCAGACACTGTATCCTCAGCGTGGCTCTGTCCTGCGAGCACTCTGCATCCGGCTTCAACACGTGGGAGAAGCAGGAGTCCAGGACAGAACCACTACGGATCCTCGGCAGGGACAATACACGCGGAAACGCGGCTCGGTGTCTGTGGGCGTAGCTAAGCTAGCCTGTGTTGTGTGCGTGTATAGGGAAGGCGAAGAGCGCAAAGCTGTGCGCGCGAGGACTCCAGTCAGTTGGCAGCACAGAATGCTGGGGCCATTTATTACCAGGCGGCTGCCAACTGACGGCAGTGCTCGTGCTGGCGGGAGTACCGTTACCAGAGGGCCAAGGTGAGCTCTGCCTCCCGGGTTTGGGGTGTTTTCTGTATTCATTGCTCCCCATGCCTTGTCATTGAGCTGAATGGGGAGAGACAGTGGAAGGTAAGGCTGGCAGCCATGGCTGATGGAGGGGGCATGGAGCTGGTATTGCAGCAGACTCCTGTCACACACAATGGCACCTCTAGTTTTTATTTTAGTGCAGAAATATTCTCTTGTGCAAACATTTTTTTCCCCCCATCCAAAATTGTGTGCTGAAAATTTGTGCAAATAGTTTCTATTTTCATGTTGGTACAGCTCAGCCCGTCTCTCTTGGTTATTATTATTATTATTATCATCGCCATTAATATAGCGCCAACAGATTCCGTAGCGCTTTACAATATTATGAGAGAGGGGATTTCACTAAAAATAGGACAATTTACAAGAAAACTTACAGGAACGATAGGTTGAAGAGGACCCTGCTCAAACGAGCTTACAGGTTATAGCTTATAACATTACAGTATTGCTGCGTGATAATGTAGTATTAGTAGTTACACAGATAGGCCTCTCTGCTAGTGCTTATCGTGATCCCTCAGACTGCCCATAGAAAGTATTAGCGACCAGCTGCGTAGACAAGGGTACACACAATTAAAATTCTTCAAGAAAAAGTTTCCAGCTTATTATATTTCAATTTTTTTTTCCAAGGTGCCCCAAGTAAAAACAAAGTTTTAAGTTGTATATCTGTACAGCACTGCAGCATATACTGTGTGTGTATGTGTGTGTGTGTGTATATATATATATATATATATATATAATGTATAGTGTTGGTGTTTGATTGCAGTGGTGCTTGTATATAAATTAAGTGATTTAATACAGGGGTGTGTGTGTTTGTATGTAATGTGTGTAGTATTGGTGTTTGAGTGAAGGGTGTGTTTGTATATAACTTTGGAGTTTGATGGCAGGGCTGTGTATGTATGTAATATTTTTGTTAGCTTGCAGGAATGTGTATGTATGTTGTGCTGGTGTTTGATTGTTTGGGCATATGCCCATACACTGCCACATACATACTAACACAGATATACATGAACATTAACACATAAAAACATATAAATACACTGACACATACACAAAAATTCATAATGACACTGACACATATGCATACTCCAACATATTGTCACCACTACTGTATGCCCCAACACGCAAAACTATGTTAACACAAAACACAACGGATACCGGTCCTTAGAATGGCTGCAGAAACCCAAGACCTATCGTCTGGCCCGTAACCCTTCCAGTCAACTAAATATTGAAGAGAACCACGGGACAACCTGGAATCAACAATAGAACAGACTTTGTACTTCTTCTAACCGGCAACAACCAAAGGAGGAGAAAGAACCGATGGAGTAGTGTACCCATTAGAAACCAAAGCAAGGAGACTTGAAGGTATTTGGAATACGAAGATTAGCAGGAAGGGCAAAAGAGTAGGTGAAGTGGAAATCAACTCAAATCGATTGATTATTCTTTGTGTATCTGCCCCTGACCAAATTAATGAAACAGTGCGTGCACGCTCCCTGAAGTAATTCACACCAGACACAAGTTCAGGTAGTTGAATAACTTTAGGAATGTTTATTCTGAGGGGACGGCATGTCCCTTATAAAGCAAAATTACATCATATGCATTGTCAGAGATAACATGGAATAATACGGTATCAATTGGTTAGGTGTTAAGTAGTTATCTTAGTGCTCTGCCTACTAGAGGTGATGTCACTGAGACCATGAGGGTCTCCCCCAGATTTCAGCGCCATCTTGTTACACGAGGTAGTTAGTCGAGGTTATAAGGAGGGAGGGGTTAGAAACTTCTAGCAGCCATTTTGTCTAAATATGCGTGAATAGCTTATCTACTGATTTCAGTGCAACGGGTAAATAGACATTTTACTAACTACAAAGTTATATATGTATATATTCATATTTTATTTCCACAACAGTCCCCCCTTAAAATGGCTATTTACCATAACAACTGCAGCTGTCCCTTACTCATCCCTAGCTGCCTGCAGCTCATCTGTCTTAACGAGCATCGAACTCTTCACTCCGTGGGTAACCCGCAGCGGCTAGTCCACCACATCTCCACACGTGAGACTTGCCCGTAGAGACAGACGCTTTCCCTATGCTATCCCTACAGGAGTGCAGTTGCCTGTTTGAATTGGTGAGGTTGAAGGGGTGTGTGTGGTGGGTCATAGTCTAGTTCCGTAACATCCTGATGTAGGAAGGTAGGAGTTGCGTCATCTATAGTCTTACCCACTGCTTTCTGTAGGTACCTTTGTATGCAAGGGAACACACAACAGATTAAGAACAGGAAGAAAATAAGTACTATAAGGACTGCAGTTCCAACCTGAAATAAAGTTCTCTGCCAACCATTCATCCATCCAAACCACCTGTCCCAAGTATCCATGACTCCTGAATTCTTCTTTAATTCATCTGAGAGACTATCCAGTTTCTCTATAGCCATTGGGCCCAGTATTGTCTGGAATGAATGTGCAACATGTCATGGTTTCGGGGAGAATTTTGCAGACACCCCCCTTTTCTGCTAATATCATGTCCAGGGCCATTCTATTTTGGAATGTCATTTGTGTGGTGGCTTGCAATTGCTCTGCCAGGCCCTGTAGGGCATCCCTGGTGTAATTAACAAATCGCTGTTGATTGTAATAGATATAGTTAATCCAATTGACATTCTTGTTGGCCGTGATAATTGGAATTAAGGATTCAAACCCAGCTGTTACTTCATCTCTTGCTTTAAATTCATTAGGCACCCCCCTTGGCACACCTATGGCATCTATGTAAACATGTGGGTTGAAACTACCACGGATTGGGGCCTCCCTTTTAGTTCTATGGCTTGTATGTGTATGGTCTGACTCATCATGATGGCCATCAGGGATAATGTGAATGGGCATTATGGCTTTTGTTAGTGTACATTCACCCCACCACAGTCCCACTAGCTGGGATCTTAATTGCTTATCGCCACACAGCCAGTATATGTCTCCAACTGTCTTTACATGGTTCATTAATAATGCTACGGGTGGGGTGTGATAGGTGGAGCAATAACCCGATGGAAATTTTCCCATATACGACCCTGTGTTCTTAGATATTGAATAACAAGTGTAATTACCTGGATACACAGTGACCCCATCAGGTGGCTTAACATGTCCTTGAATAACAGGATAGACCTTTTTCCATGACTCACACATGGAAGTGTTCGTAGTGGATTGTGCATAGAGACTCAAAACACATGTCTCAACTTCGGGAGGTAAATTTAAAGGTACTGTGCCTAGGTGAGGCCTAGCTCCCCCGCACACATAGCAGTTAGTCTTATTATGTGAATTAGCATTGTATCTCATCCATTCCAACCATAAATTAGTATCTGAAAACCCTGTCTCGACTGCCATGGTGTCCTCAAAGGTAGGGTTAGCGATAGCAACCATATCATGTAAAGTTTTAATGTGGGGTTTGAGTGGATTGATAGTCATATGTGTGGTGCCTACCCAGTCAGATGAGTTAAACATATCTTGTAAGTAGAATGTCCCCAGCTTGTTGTGTGTGCCTCCCCCTCTCCAATACATGCCCATCACATATTCACCTGCATCCCCAGGACTGGGATGCTCTATGTTTAGTGTGAGTTTGATAAGGGTTGACCCAGTAGGTTTGGTTAAAGTCATTCTAGAGAGTAAGGGTTTCCCGTCTTGGTCAAGTCTGTCAAGGGCACTCTGTGGTCTTTATCCCCATGGTCTGCCCGTGTTCCACCCGGCTGCTTTCCATGAACCACAATGATGTCCCCAAGATCCCCCCGTCACACAAATATATGGATCTTTTTTACTGGGTATGTCCTTGTATATGGATGCATACTGTGTTTGGGGGAAGGTGCAAGTAACAATATCACAATAATCAAAGGTGAATGTGGCTACATCTGTACATGAAGAATTGTACCAGAAAGTGTAAACATTGTTATCTTTGGTTATGGCCACCCGTTGGGCCCATGCAAGTTTTAGCAGCATAAAGAAACACAAGAGACACAACAAATTCATGGTTCAGAGAGGGTGGTTTCTCCTGGAGCAGGCACTTTCTTGCAGTGTGAGGCGTGTATCCAGGAACTCTTCCCAGCCAATTTGACAGAGGTAGCTGTAATTAAAAGCACTTGGTAGGGACCATCAAATCTCGGCTCAAGAGTGTGCTTTCTGAGAAATTTCTTGACCATAACCCAATCACCAGGAAGCAACTTGTGTGTACCTGTATTCGACTCAGGATCTGGAATAGAAGAAAACACTTGGGCATGGATTTTGGTCAAGGCACGAGAAAGAGCAGTAACATAATCTACCATAGCATCTGACTGTATCTGAAGTTGCTGGGGGAAATAGCAACCTAATCTGGGTGCAGTGCCAAACAGGATCTCATAGGGAGATAAATTACATTTTCCCCTAGGGGTATACCTCACACTGAATAGTGCTAACGGGAGACTCTCGGGCCAGGGCATGTTAGTTTCCTTAGACATCTTGAGCATTCTGGCCTTTAATGTGCCATTCATGCATTCTACCTTACCACTACTCTGTGGATGATATGGTGTGTGGAAGGCAAGGGTCACCCCCAGTGCTGTCCAGACTTCCCGAGTTAATGAGGCAGTAAAAGAGGTTCCTTGATCGCTTTCAATTACTTCTGGAACGCCGTATCTGCAGACAATCTCTGTTAGAAGATATTTGGCTGTTGTCTTGGCGGTAAGATTAGCCACTGAAAAAGCCTCCGGCCATCCTGAAAACATGTCCACAATAACTAGTGCATATTCGTAGCGCCCACTCTTTGGCATCTGGATGTGGTCAATCTGTATTCTCTGGAAGGGATATTGTGGTTTGGCCAATGGTTGGGTGCAGTCTTGACAATCTTTCCAGGGTTGCATTTGGCACAGATTGCACAGGATTTACAATAATTCTGTGTCAAGGTAGTGATACCTGGTGCTTCAAAATATTTATCAATCAGAGAGTTCATCAGGTGCTTTGACAGGTGAGCTGGTCCATGAGCCCATTGGACAACCGCTGGGTACATGTTTTTGGGTAGACAAAATTTAAGATTAAGGGTGTAAACATCATCCTGAAGGATGGCTCCCCTGCTCTTCCATCTCTGCTTTTCCTGGGGAGTTGCAGCAGCTTGCTGTTCCTTCAGAAGGTTGAGATCTGTAGGCAGTGTTTGCATAGTATAGACAGGTATTGTTTCAGTAGCCACTCTTCTGCCCACTTCCCACCCTTGTCGTGCTGCATCCTTGGCAGCTTGGTCTGCTAGATGATTGCCTTGTGCTTCTTCTGAGTTGTCTTCCATGGGCCTTTACTTTAAGCACTGCTACCTCCGCTGGTAGTATCAAGGCGTCCATTAGTACTTTGATGGCTAGGCCATGTTTCACTGGGGTTCCAGCAGCTGTGAGGAATCCTCGGGTTTTCCAAATTAGGCCAAAGTCATGTGCTACTCCCAAAGCATATCTTGAATCCGTATAGATATTAACACGGAGGCCCTCGGATAATTTGCAGGCCACTGTGAGAGCTATTAATTCAGCTTCTTGTGCTGACTTGGTTAATGGAAGTGCGGCTGCTTGCAATATTTGGCATTTTGTGGTAACTGCATATCCAGTGTGATATTGCCCTTGTTCATCAGCAAATCTAGAACCGTCTACAAACAATGTCTGGTCTGGGTTTGGTAGGGCTACTTCATGTACGGTTGGTAAGTGGGTAGTTTCCATCTTCATTTGTTCAAAGCAATCATGAGGGGCCTCTGGATCCTGTTCCATAGGCGGGAGGTCTTCACAGATTTCTGTGTGATGTCGAGGAAACCCTGCTGTATTACAATTGATGATTCTTTTAGTGATTCCTGATGAATCAAGTTGTTCTTGAGTCATAGTGCTCCAGGATTTGGCCATTGGGCCAAGATCTTGCCATAGGTTGTCAGGGGACTTGGTGAGAGAAATATGGGGAACAGCCGTTTCCCAATGGCGGTAGAGATGAGACATCCTTGCTGGAAGATGTACCAGTAGGAGCATGTTGCATCTAGAGTCCCACAACAGGTCTGTCAATGTGATGTGAATTTCAATCTGTTGGAATAGTTCTGTCACATATTCATCCGCTTATAGAAATGTGGTTAATGACATTTACTGTCCACACAGGAAAAGTTGTTCCGAGCAGCAACCTAATCCACAGAAGGGTTAATGCTGAGCAGCAATTATGCAAATGAAACCTGGTAACTGACTTTGGGGTCAAAGGCCGGTTACAGCCTATCAGAACTAAAGGAGGGGTATTTAGGCCCAGTTCTCAGCCTGCTCAGTGCCCTGTCGTGGTTTCCCTTGTGGTTGTCCGAGAGCGCGTTCCTGTTTATAGTTTTCTACCTGGTTTTTGACTTTGGCTTTGTTTATTGACTTCTCTATATTCTGGTATCCTGACTCCTGGCTTTCCTCATCGCTGTGTCCCTTTCTGTGTTCCCTGACCTCGGCTAGTATTTTTGACTATTCTTTGTACGTTAAATCCGGCCATTCTAAGGACCGGTAATACGTTACTTATTTGTCATCCGTGCTGTACAGTTCTACGTGCTGGATCAAACAGTAATCCTGACATTACGACATGGCCATAGATCCTGTAGAACTGTGTCAGCACATAGCTGCTTGTGAGAGGAAATTAGAGAAGAATGATCACCGCATGGATCAATTCACTCAGGCTTTAAGTACGCTTCTCGCTAGAACGGAGCATCTGCAGCCTGCAGCGTCTCCTCCTATAGCACCTCTACCCTGTGTACCTCCACCCACTGTTAATAGGACTCCTTGCATCTCCTTATCACCATCCCTACAGTTTGATGGCAATATCCAGGAATGCAGGGGTTTTCTTAATCAGGTGGAGTACCATTTTGAGGCCTCACCAGGGTCATTCCCCACGGACAGAGCAAGAATTGGTTATCTAATGAATCAATTAAAGGGCAAGGCCCTTGCCTGGGCTAATCCGTTGTGGGAGAGTAATCGGAGCATAGCTCATAATTACCAGGAATTCCTTGCCGAATTCAAGCTCACGTTTGAGCCATTGGGTAGAGAGGATGACGCCTCCACTGCCCTAATGCACATCAGACAAGGTCTATCTCGGATTATGCTATTGAATTCCGTACCTTAGCTTCCGAGGTAGACTGGACTAACAATGGGTTAATCTCAGCATTCAAAAAGGGTCTCTCAGAGACTATACTAGATGAGATAGCCGCTAAAGAATTACCTAAGAGTCTTAACGAATTTATTACGTTTGTCATGCATATTGATAATAGGTTAAGACTCAGAGAAGTCACCAGAAGCAAGACCAGACGTATGGCTATGTCCCTAGCACCTCAATTCTCTAAACCTGTTTTGTCTAACCTCCCTGTACAGTCCGAACCCGAACCTATGCAGTTGGGGGTCACTAGACTGTCAGAGGCCGAAAAACAGTATAGGAGAAGGGAGGGGTTATGCCTATATTGCGGTAGAAAGGGACATATGATAACTAATTGTCCAGTGCGTCCGGAAAACTTCCGCACCTAAGAACCTTAAGGGGACAGATCTTAGGTGTGATGGAGTTGTCCTCTAACAAAAACAAAAGTAGATTCCTCCTTGAGGTATCTATTTCCATTGATAACAAGAAGTTTTCTTGCAGTGCCCTAATGGACTCAGGTGCTGCTGGAAATTTTATTGATGTCCAGTTTATTAGGGGTAATGAGATACCGGTCAGGGAGAGACCTACGCCGCTAGCTGTAGAGGCTATTGATGGTAGACCACTCACACAACCGCTTATAACCCACGAAACTGTCCCTATTACGATCTCCATTGGGGCCTCCCATAGGGAGGAGATGACGTTTCAGGTTATTACTTCTCCATCATGTCCTATCATATTAGGGTTTCCGTGGCTGAGTAAGCACAATCCCTATATTGACTGGGCTAATGGGGAGATATTAGAATGGGGTAAAGAGTGTATGGGGAGATGTATAAAACCAGTACTAAAGAGATTGGATACTATTGACCTTCCCACTACCACTCCCCAAACTCCTGGAGTTCCCATACAATACCGAGAACTTCAGGAGGTGTTTAACAAGGCTCAATCCGATGTATTGCCTCCCCACAGAGCATATGACTGTGCCATTAACCTGTTTCCAGGCGCTATGCCACCTAAGGGGGCAGTTTATGCCTTATCTCCCCAGGAGAGTAAAATAATGGAGGAATACATCAAAGAATCCTTGAGCAAAGGGCACATAAGAAAGTCATCCTCACCAGCTGGTGCAGGATTCTTTTTTGTTGAGAAAAAGGGTGGTGAGTTACGCCCTTGCATAGACTACAGGGCACTTAATAAAATCACTGTAAAAAATGCATACCCTATTCCACTCATTTCCGAATTGTTCGATAGACTTCAGGGAGCTAAAGTATTTACTAAGCTTGACCTTAGGAGCGCTTACAATTTGGTTAGAATTAAAGAGAATCATGAGTGGAAGACGGCATTTAATACCCGTAGTGGACACTATGAATATCTGGTAATGCCATTTGGGTTATGCAACGCCCCGGCCGTATTCCAAGACTTTATAAATGATGTACTCAGGGAATTCATTTACTCATTTGTCTTGGTTTATTTGGACGATATTTTGGTGTATTCCCCTGATCTTCAAACTCACCACTCCCATGTGAAACAGGTTCTGCAGACGTTGTTGAAAAATAAACTTTATTGTAAATTAGAAAAGTGCATATTTGACCAGCCTGAAGTCCACTTTTTGGGTTACAACATCTCTGCATCGGGATTTCAAATGGATCCTAAAAAACTAGAGGCTGTACTACACTGGCCATTACCCTCTGGTTTAAAAGCCATTCAAAGGTTTATTGGTTTTGCCAACTATTACAGAAGATTCATCAAGGGATTTTCTTCTGTAATAGCCCCAATCACAAATATGACTCGCAAAGGGGTTAGTAGCACGGTATGGTCCAAAGAGGCTGTGAATGCTTTTGAGACTCTTAAACAAAGATTTGCCTCTGCGGACATACTAAAACATCCTGACACCAGTAAACCTTTATATTGGAGGTTGATGCATCCGAGACAGGGGTAGGGGCTGTTCTCTCTCAGAGAGAAAGCCAGGGAACACCATTGCATCCTTGTGGCTACTTCTCCAGAAAGATGTCTCCTGCTGAGCACAACTATGATATTGGCAATAGAGAACTGTTGGCCATTATTCTTGCCCTCAAGGAGTGGCGACATCTTTTGGAGGGTTCCAAGGACCCCCTGTTGATCATAACCGACCACAAAAATCTGGCATATATAGGGGATGCCAAACGTTTGTCTTCCAGACAGGCTAGATGGTCACTGTTCCTTTCACGTTTTAACTTTCTCATTACTTATAGACCTGGTTCTAAAAATACCAAGGCTGATGCCTTGTCCAGGCAATTTGATAATGAGTCAGCTCCGGAACAGGTGACATCTCCTATTATTCCACCAGAGTGTATTATTGCTACTACTGTCCTCTCACTGTCTTCTCCACTGCTTGGCACCATACTGGAGGCCCAGCCTCAGGCGCCCAGTGGTAAACCGTGTGATAAACTGTTCGTTCCCCTATGTGAAAGGGTTAATATCATGAAAGTGTTCCATGACAATATAACTGCTGGACACCCGGGCATCAATAAGTCCACTGCCGCGATCACTAGATCATTTTGGTGGGATTCACTCAGGAAAGATGTAAAGGAGTATGTGCAGGCATGTTCTGTGTGTGCAGTTTCTAAGGTGACTCATGCACTTCCTTGTGGCCTGTTGCAGCCTCTTCCTGTTCCTGAGATTCCATGGTCCCACTTATCCATGGACTTTATTGTTGAGCTTCCTAGCTCTGCTGGGTTCACTACTATTCTCATGGTTGTAGACCGATTTTCTAAGATGGCTCACTTCATTCCTCTCAAGAAGTTGCCATCTTCGCAAGATTTGGTCCTAATTTTCATACGTGAAATTGTCCGTTTGCATGGCATCCCCACAATATTGTGTCTGATAGGGGCTCTCAGTTTGTGTCCAGGTTCTGGAGGGCGTTCAGTAAACAATTGGGGATTGATCTCTCCTTCTCCTCCTCCTACCATCCACAGACCAATGGTACAGCTGAGAGGGCTAACCAGTCATTAGAAGTTTATTTGCGTTGTTTTATTAATAGCACACAAGACAATTGGTCCGAACTACTCCCGTGGGCCGAGTTCGCTAGAAACAATGCTGTTCATGACTCCTCTGGGCACAGTCCATTTTTTGTCAATAATGGTAGGCATCCTACGGTTCTCCCTGCGGTATTTTCTGATACTGCCATTCCTGCTCTGGATGAGCGTCTGGCCTCCATTCGGGATACCTGGGTTAAGGTTCAAACTGCTCTAGGGGCTGCTGCTGAACGCTTCAAACATTTTGCTGATAAGCGTAGGAGTGCCAACCCGGTGTACCAAGTGGGGGACCGGGTTTGGTTGTCATCTCGCAACATCAAGCTTAAGGTCCCTAGCATGAAGTTTGCCCCCAGATTCCTTGGTCCCTATAGAGTGCTTCGTAGGATCAATCCAGTGTCTTACTCTCTGGCTCTTCCTGCATCTTTAGGGATTCCCAACACTTTTCATGTGTCCTTACTCAAACCTCTTGTCTGCAATAGATATACTGTTCCTTGTGTTCCTCCCCTCCGGTGGTGGTGGGTGGTCAGGAAGAGTATGAGGTATCTTCTATCGTGGATTCTAGGTTTTCTCGGGGCACTTTACAGTACTTGGTTGTTTGGAAAGGTTACGGTCCTGCTGATCGTTCTTGGGTTTCGGCTCCTGACCTGCATGCGGGCCGTAAGATCCGCGCTTTTCACGCTAAATTTCCTCTCAAGCCTGGTCCTGTCCGCCCGGTGGGCGTTCTTCAGGTGGGGGGTAATGTCACATATTCATCCGCTTATAGAAATGTGGTTAATGACATTTACTGTCCACACAGGAAAAGTTGTGCCGAGCAGCAACCTAATCCACAGAAGGGTTAATGCTGAGCAGTAATTGTGCAAATGAAACCTGGTGTCATGTATTCATCCGCTTAGAGAAAAGTGATTAATGACATTTACTGTCCACACAGGAAAAGTTGTGCCGAGCAGCAACCTAATCCACAGAAGGGTTAATGCTGAGCAGCAATTATACAAATGAAACCTGGTAACTGACTTTGGGGTCAAAGGCCGGTTACAGCCTATCAGAACTAAAGGAGGGGTATTTAGGCCCAGTTCTCAGCCTGCTCAGTGCCCTGTCGTGGTTTCCCTTGTGGTTGTCTGAGAGCTTGGTTAATGGAAGTGCGGCTGCTTGCAATATTTGGCATTTTGTGGTAACTGCATATCCAGTGTGATATTGCCCTTGTTCATCAGCAAATCTAGAACCGTCTACAAACAATGTCTGGTCTGGGTTTGGTAGGGCTACTTCATGTACGGTTGGTAAGTGGGTAGTTTCCATCTTCATTTGTTCAAAGCAATCATGAGGGGCCTCTGGATCCTGTTCCATAGGCGGGAGGTCTTCACAGATTTCTGTGTGATGTCGAGGAAACCCTGCTGTATTACAATTGATGATTCTTTTAGTGATTCCTGATGAATCAAGTTGTTCTTGAGTCATAGTGCTCCAGGATTTGGCCATTGGGCCAAGATCTTGCCATAGGTTGTCAGGGGACTTGGTGAGAGAAATATGGGGAACAGCCGTTTCCCAATGGCGGTAGAGATGAGACATCCTTGCTGGAAGATGTACCAGTAGGAGCATGTTGCATCTAGAGTCCCACAACAGGTCTGTCAATGTGATGTGAATTTCAATCTGTTGGAATAGTTCTGTCACATATTCATCCGCTTATAGAAATGTGGTTAATGACATTTACTGTCCACACAGGAAAAGTTGTTCCGAGCAGCAACCTAATCCACAGAAGGGTTAATGCTGAGCAGCAATTATGCAAATGAAACCTGGTAACTGACTTTGGGGTCAAAGGCCGGTTACAGCCTATCAGAACTAAAGGAGGGGTATTTAGGCCCAGTTCTCAGCCTGCTCAGTGCCCTGTCGTGGTTTCCCTTGTAGTTGTCCGAGAGCGCGTTCCTGTTTATAGTTTTCTACCTGGTTTTTGACTTTGGCTTTGTTTATTGACTTCTCTATATTCTGGTATCCTGACTCCTGGCTTTCCTCATCGCTGTGTCCCTTTCTCTGTTCCCTGACCTCGGCTAGTATTTTTGACTATTCTTTGTACGTTAAATCCGGCCATTCTAAGGACCGGTAATACGTTACTTATTTGTCATCCGTGCTGTACAGTTCTACGTGCTGGATCAAACAGTAATCCTGACAAGTTCTTCTTCATAATCCACATCGGGGCCTGGAGTGTCTTTAAACCATAAGGTGCAATGTAACATATTTTCTGATTGTTGATCATGAGGAATTGTAACAGTGGGTAGCTGGAACTCCATTGGAGCATCTGGGTTGATGTCCAAGCTGTACCAGTGTTGTGCCACTCCCCCCTTGGTGGCAGGGTTCAGTGAATAGCAGCGTTGTAGAGTAACATTGTCTGGTAGCAACAATGAGGTTTGCAGTCTCAAATGACGTTGAGAGGAAAGATGTCGAGGTTGTGTTTGTTGGAGAATTGCAGAGATATCATGTGGAGCCAGTACGGTGAGAGAATGCCCAAGAACAAAGGCATTAGTCTTGTCCAGGAGTGCACTGGCAGCAAATACTGCTCGGAGACAAGAAGGGCTGCCTCTGGCAACATGATCAAGCATGCAGGAAAAGTAGCCAACAGGTCTTTGTCTGGAGCCATGTTGCTGAGTGAGAACCCCGGAAGCGTGGCCCAGTCTTTCAGACACAAACAGTTTAAAGGGCAACTGGTAGTTTGGCAGACCCGGGGCAGAGGCAATAGCCTTCTTCAGGGAAGTGAAACAGTCAAGTGCATGTGGTGATAATGAGAAAGGATCATGTTTCAAGACATCATACAGTGGCTGCATGAGCTGAGAGGCGTCAGGAATCCAGGATCTGCAATAAGTAATCAGGCCCAAAAAAGCATGAAGAGCTTGGTGTGTAGAAGGGATAGGTAAGTTCAGGATAGCCAGGATCCTATCCTTTTGTAAGGTGACGGGTGCCATGGGAGAGGCAATGTCCCAAGAAGACCACTGAGGGCCAGCACCATTGGAGTTTAGATTTCGAGGCCTTGCAGCCTGCCTCAGCGAGGAAACAGAGGAGATCTTCTGAGACTCGTTCAGCAGTTTGGATATCATCAGCACAGAGGAGGAGGTCATCAACATATTGGAGCAACACCACATCAGTGTGTGTCTTTTGCCAGGGTTCCAGGACTAGTGACTTAGCGTGGGCAAACTGGGTAGGTGAATTCTGAGCACCTTGGGGCATAACAGTCCAAGTATATTGTTGGCCCTCATGTGTGAAAGCAAAAAGATATTGGCAAGCTGGGTCCAGAGGAACACTGAAAAAGGCATTAGCAAGGTCCACAACTGTGAAAACTGTGGCAGAGGGTGGAACCTGTGACAGTAATGTGTGGGGGTTTGGAACAACAGCTGAATCTTTGACAGTAACATCATTAACAGCACGTAGGTCTTGAACCATTCGGTACTGGTCAGGCTGACCCTTTTCAGTCTTTTTCTTGACAGGAAACAAAGGGGTATTGCATGGTGATGCACATTTGACAAGGGCCCCTTTGGCTAGAAGGCTTTCCACCTGTTTGGAGATGGCAGAGGCTTGAGCAGGTTTCAGGGGGTACTGGGGCCTTCTGGGAGGGGTAACTCCGGGCAAGAGCGAGACCACAACAGGAGGAACTTTGAGGCGGCCAATATCATCATGGCCAGTAGACCAGAGCTTGATGGGGATCCTGTCCAGAGCACTGGGGGCATGAGGGACCGTTGTTTCCCCTGCAGGAGATTCTAAGTGTAACAGTAATGGGAGGGAGCAAAGCGCTGAAGTATCCTTTCGTGATAAAGGTGTGTTTAGCTGAACTTGGCCATCTGCAGTAAAGGTAATAGATGCCTGGAGACGGGACAGAACATCAGCACCCAAGAGGTTAATGGGGCAGGTAGAGGAAACAACAAATCGTGACAGAATTGTCAGGATACTGACAGGGATCCAATACGCAGAGTGCGGACAGAAGGAGGTACGTATACCGGACCTTAGAATGGCCGGCCTAACGTATGGACAAAACAAGAATAGTCAAAAGGTAAGCCGAGGTCGAGGGAGCCGGAGGACAGGTAAGCGAGATACAAGCCGAGTCAAAGGAGAGGAGAGGACAACAGAACAAAAGACAAGCAAGGTCAAAACCGAAAACACAAGAGAGAGAACGCGCTGAGTGACTAGCAAGCTAGAACCACGACAGGGCAATGAGCAGTAGTAAAGGTTTCCTTTAAATACCCTGTCACCTTAATTGAGACCACGCCCCCAAAAAGGTCCGGAATAGCGGTTCCCGGCACTTCACGTAATGCTGACGTCATGACGTCGACGCTAGCCGTCGCGTCATAAAAGGGGGAGGAGCTAGCGCGGCCGGCGCGAAAACGGCCGGAATATGCCGAAATGCTAGGGGCAGGGAGCCCCTAAACAGAGAGGATGTCTTCCCTGGATTCAGCACCAACAGGTACCCTGACAGTACCCCCCTTTCTAGAAACGCCCACCGGGCGGATGGGACCGGGCTTAGAAGGAAAACGAACGTGGAAGGCCCGAAGAAGACGAGGAGCATGCACGTCTATACCAGGAACCCAAGACCTCTCTTCTGGACCATAACCTTTCCAGTCTATGAGGTATTGCAATTTCCCCCTAGAAATACGAGAATCCAGGATGGACCTAATGATATATTCTTCCTGACCATCCACACGGACCGAGGATGGAGGAGCAGAGCTGGAGGAAAATTTGTTACAAACAAGAGGTTTCAATAAAGACACATGAAAAGAGTTAGGGATGCGTAGAGTAGGGGGCAGGTCCAGCAAATAAGAAACCGGGTTGATCCTCCTCAGCACCCTGTACGGGCCTATGTAACGAGGAGCAAACTTCAAAGAGGGGACTTTCAGGCGAATGTGTCTGGTACTCAACCAGACCCTATCACCCGGAGAAAAAATAGGAGCAGGCCGCCTACGCCTATCAGCATGTGACTTAAACACCGCGGAACTACGTGCAAGAATTTGTCGAGTCTGATCCCACAACTTTCTCAGGTTGGCTATATGAATATCAACCGACGGTATACCCTGGGAAGGAGACACCGACGGAAGAACAGTAGGGTTAAAGCCATAGTTCAAGAAAAGGGGGCTATTATGAGTGGAACCACAAACAAGGTTGTTGTGAGCAAACTCCGCCCAAGGAATCAGACCGACCCAGTCATCCTGGTGTTCAGAAACAAAACAACGTAGATATTGTTCAATTTTTTGGTTAGTGCGTTCGGCTGCTCCGTTAGATTGAGGATGATAGGCCGAAGAAAAATTCAGTTTGATGCCCAACTGGGAACAGAAGGATCTCCAAAAACGGGAAATAAACTGGGAACCCCTGTCCGACACAATCTCATTGGGAATACCATGCAAACGGAAAATTTCTCTAGCAAATATCACGGCCAGTTCAGGAGAGGATGGAAGTTTAGGCAAGGGAATGAAATGAGCCATTTTAGTAAACCTGTCAAGGACCGTGAGGATAACCGTGTGCCTACTGGAAACCGGCAGATCAACAATAAAATCCATAGCCAAACAAGCCCAAGGTTTGTTGGGAACGACTAAGGGTTGCAATAAACCACAAGGGAGATCCCGTGGTAGTTTATTCCTGACACAAACATCGCAAGCCTTGACAAAGTCTTCCACATCCCTACGTAAACTAGGCCACCAGAAGTCTTTGGAGATCAGGCAGTAAGTTTTGTGTATGCCGGGGTGACCAGCGAACTTGCTATCGTGAAAACAGCGAATAATGTCCACTTGGAATTTGGGAGACACGAACAAGCGGCCCACAGGAGTACGCTTGGGAGCAAGAGATTGTTCGTTCATTATATCTAAGAGCAATGGAGAGTGTATTTTGACATTGGTGTTGGCGATAATATTGACTTCAGGAATAATAGGGAACAAAGTGTCTTCAGTAGAGGCGATAGGTTCGTGCTGACGAGACAATGCGTCTGCCTTAGTGTTCTTAGAACCAGGCCTGTAAGTAAGCATATAATTAAAGTGTGTAAGGAACATAGACCAACGTGCTTGCCTGGCAGATAATCTTTTGGCCTCCCCCATATAAGATAAATTTTTGTGATCAGTCAAGATAGTAACTGGGAGGACAGTGCCCTCTAACAGATGTCTCCATTCCTTTAATGCCATAATGATAGCTAAAAGTTCTCTATCACCAATGTCATATCTCCTTTCAGTGTGTGATAGTTTCTTGGAAAAAAAACCGCAAGGGTGCAGCGGCTTATCTAAACTTTGTCTCTGGGACAACACTGCGCCTATCCCTGTTTCAGACGCATCAACTTCAAGTAAAAAGGGTAGAGAGGTATCAGGATGAACTAATACAGGTGCTGAGGCAAAAGACGGTTTGAGCGTTTCGAAAGCAGATAAAGCCTCAGTAGACCAGGTTTTGGTATCGGCTCCTTGTTTGGTCATATTAGTGATAGGAGCGATAACAGAGGAGTACCCTTTAATAAAACGTCTGTAATAATTAGAAAATCCAAGAAATCTTTGTATGGCTTTGAGTCCCTTACGGGGCATTACAAAGCCCAAACGGCATTACGGTATACTCATAATGCCCGTAACGGGTATTAAATGCTGTCATCCATTCATCTCCTTGTTTAATTCGCACCAAGTTATATGCTCCTCTCAAGTCAAGTTTGGTAAAAATACTCGAGCCCTTTAGTCTGTCAAAGAGTTCAGTAATCAAAGGAATAGGGTAAGCATTCCTGATAGTAATTTTGTTCAATCCCCGATAGTCTATACAAGGACGTAAGGTACCGTCTTTCTTTTCTACAAAAAAGAAACCCGCCCACGCCGGAGAAGAAGACTTTCTAATAAATCCTTTGTCTAAATTCTCCTTGATGTATTCCTCTAAAACTAAATTTTCCTTGGTGGATAAAGGGTATACCGTACCCCTGGGAGGCATAGTACCAGGGAAAGTTTAATAGAACAGTCATAAGACCGGTGGGGAGGTAAAGTATCCGCCTTACCCTTGTCAAATACAGATTTGAGGTCTAGATATTGTAATGGTATCTGAACGTCTGTGGATTGGGAAGAGTTAGTATAAGAGTTTACAGGACAAACAGAAGTAACTCTCTGCAGACATTCTTTCCTACAACCAATACCCCAAGAAACGATTTCTCCACCCTCCCAGTCAATCTGAGGGTTATGTCTCTTGAGCCAAGAATATCCTAGCACCACTGGGACTGCCGGGGAGGAAATTAACAGAAGGGAAATCAACTCCTCGTGGAAGATACCAACAGTAAGCTTAACAGGTTTGGTCTCATGGAATATTACTGGTTCCGATAAAGGTCTACCATCTATGGCCTCAACGGCCAAGGGTGTATCTCTCAGT